TGAGTGATATATAATTCCAGATACGCCTAGACATTAAATTAACATATTTTGTTAATAATCATTATTTGTGTATATCCCTCTCTCTCTCTCTCTCTCCCACACACTCTCTCCCTCTCTTTCTGAAGTCATCTTTGCTAAACTCTAGACTCGGAGCTGCTACACATGTAAATTGCTGCCTAATGTCTTATTCATGTTTACAGGCTTGTGCTCTGCCTCTCTCTCCCACTCTCTGTCTCTCCCTCTCTCTCACACTCTGTATCTCTGTTCTAAAATTTACTTTGCGTGCTGTGAACTTATTAGGGCCAGCTAAAGCCAAACCTTTTGGCTCAGCAATTACAACAGCATTTGTTCATAAAGAGACTTTTTCTTCCATTTTTTCTCCTCTTTTTTCGTTTGCTGTTTTTTCTCTTCGTTTCTCCTGTTTTCTCTTGTTTTGTTGTATTTTTATTCAAAGCTAAATAAACGCAATTTGCTGGCCATATAACGCTTGACCATTTCTGTTGTCCGTTCGCATGCATTTAAATTTAATTGCGCTGCCTTTGCCGCCGCTCAGCACAATAAATCTCTGCTAATTGTGACTGAATTTATTTACTTTTTGCTGCATACTTTGAGGCGCGCACATTAAATCGCACTTTCGTGTATTTATTTCGTTCGTTAAATACATATATTCAAATGGGTTTCGCAATGAAATGCTAGTTAATCAGATAATCTTACTTATGAAATATATATTTAAATAAATTTATTCTACAAAAAATTAATGCCTATATATCAAAATTGTTGCCTATATATCAATATATGTTCATATTTCACTTGTATTTTTATTTAAATGTTTGTATATATTATTTAAATATTTATTAGTCAAATCTACTAAGCTATGCCAAGCTAATGGAATTTATGTTCCACAAATTAGTATACCTTATATAAATATGAGTTAAGAAACTTTTCTATTATTAATGTACTTCATTTAATTCGGGATTTCATAGCAGAAATTAAACTTTTCCAATGAAAAATAAAAATTTGAGCTGTTTATAAAGGACAATTATTATTATTATATATTAATTTATTATATTTTTATTACACTGTATATGATTTAATATATGTATACCAATATTTCTTCTGCTCTTTTTATTTTCAGTAAATAAACATTTTCACGCAAGTGTTAAAGTTCCATTTTTAAATACTTCTACGGAAATTATTATATACAAATATTTTATTTCTAAAATAAACCTAT